ACATTTTACAGCTTTTAGAACATAGGCACAAAAGTGACCATGTACATAACAGAAACTGCGTGCCTTTATTTAGGCAGTCAACTACTAGCAGCTATCAGTATAGAGTCAGTTACAGTTTTACAGTTAACTACATTACTGGGTATAAGGTATTATAAGAATCAGACATTAACTTTTTTTTCTATCAAAGGCTAAACAATAACATCACATGTCTGCTACTTGGATTTCATCTGCCAAGTAACTTGCCAGTTCCTAAGGTAATGGCACCATCTATTGGTCCGATAGCACCTCTGCAGAATTTCTGGAAGTTAATCATGGTTTTCCTTTATACAGTTAACCAGATGATTCAATTTAAACACTGCACTGTTTCAGTAGCGCGAGATCCAGAAGAAAAAGAAAAACCTTTAACATTTCCAAGAATAGAATAAGTAGGTGTTTTATCTAGAGATGCCAACCATGAACAGAAAAAGATTAACTAAAGTTGTATTTTCCCATCACAGAGTAAAAGCTGCATCAGACATAGGCTGAGTCTGATCTACTAGTCTGACACGCTTCGTTTTCAGATAAATTTTCTTTTCTGATATATTCATTTGGACTCTACATTACACTTCCATAGCTCTACCAAAACGAAGCCTTCATTTAAAATCATCCAAGTTTTCAAAATGAAACACAAGTTTGAAATGATAGCGTCTTCTTGAGTGATCAGAGAGCAAAAATAATTGCAACCCTGGTTATGTTTAGAATTTTCCTTTTTCCAGATATATGATAGTCTCAGTAGGGCATTAACCTTAAAAGCCACAGATGAAACTGTGCAAGAATAGTTTTAGTTCAGAAGGCACTAGTTTAAATCTTACCAATGTCTCAGTGATCTTTTACCATTTTTTATCCCTTATTCCCAGAGTATTGCCTATAAATCACACACACAAAAAAATCAGAACTAATCAAACAAGCCGACACTACTATTGAAAATATTCCCTTTGCCAAAGACTGGGCAAGTTCTGTAATATTTCAAGATGTATGTGTCCTTCCCTTCAACATGTGCATGTGTTATTTCCCTTCACAAAAACATACGAGGCTGATGGTGATCACTAAGGCTGTCCTGCAAGTTGCAAAGCTTATTATAGCTTATTACATCAGCATTCTTACCACAGGGACTCTCCAACCATCCCTCAATAATTAAGTAACAGAACAAGACATCTAAAGAAACAATTTTATCTAGAGGACATGGACAAAAGTAGTTAGAAGATATAGAAAGAATGACAAGTTAAATTCACAAATCAAGATTAAGAGATGAATGAAGATTTTGTATTCTGTAATACAGTGTCTTCCTGAATATACTCATAGGAGGCTTCTAATTGAGTGTTTTAGCAAGATCATGGGTAAACGGGTACATGCTCAAGAGCCATTTCACAATTTGAAATTATTGCTACTGCAAAGCAGCACTGAGGAGTTCAAAAGCTTACTTCTCTCCTGTAGATATGCTTCATCTCCTTCTGTAGAACTGGGAAGTAATGGAGCAATGTTTCTGATTTTTAAGCGAGAAAGACAAGAAACTCCAGAAAAGCTACATGTGATTTGCATTCTGCTATCACAAAGTACGTACTTCCACATTACCCCATATTCTTGTTTATAGTTAAATATATTATTTGCTGTTTTTTCACCAAGACTGTATTTTACTGTACACATCTGTACAGTATAAGATACTGTACGTTTTTTATATCCTGAACATTGCTTTTGTAATTGGTCCTGACAGGGTAGTACCCAAATTCCAAAAAGCATGCAAAAATCTGTGGTTTCAGCTTTCAATATTATCATACTCCTCAAGTCAAAACTGAATGAGATGTACACAGAATTGCATATAGCTATAGCTCAAATTACTGTCATGACAGAAAATGTTACATAGAAGAGTTGGGGTACTAACACTTAATAACCTGATGATGGGCTACTAATGTCAAGTTGACCCCAGCAATAGACAGAATTTAACTTCTTTGTTGAGAAGGTCCACACAGTAGTTAATTATTCTATGTGGTAAGTAAACCAGGTGTTGCTTCACTACAATGAAGCAACTTCTTGAGTTAAATACAGCTGCTGCTTAGCAAGAAATACAGAAATACAACAGTCCTGAAGGAGAAGCAAGGCACATTTTTTTTCCTAATGAAACTACACAAAACCTTCAAGCAGAATGTAATTCCCCAAGTGAGACTTCATATGAACCATGAGTTACGACTACCTGCAAATCAAGTTTCTAAGGATTTTTTTTCTACAGAGATTTTTTAGGAAGCCCCCAATTCTCTTGCTTTAAGGTATGCTGAGGAACACATACAGCAACTGTCCTAATACCATTTTTTTGGCAGCTTCGATTTACACACTATAATAGCCCATGTTTTTAAAGTGTCAGAAAAGAACTAGAACAGTGCACCTGCCTTGCAAATACGGGTAACACTTTATCTTTGAAGTCTGAGATCTGTCCAGCTCCCAGAAAACAATGGAATTTAAGTAAAAACATATTAAATAATCATTTGAAGTGTTCATCCATTTTACCAGGCAGTTGTATTACAGTAAGTACCACTTACCCATGGTAACATAAGGCAATTTGTCAGTTGATCCATGGGGATATATGCTGTAAAGGTGGGGTCCCGTGACATCTACTCCCCCTAAAACCAGGGCAGCACCAATGTAACCTTGATACCTAGGAGCAATATTTATATGTGAATCTGAAAGTCCACGATAAAGATGTAGTTCTTTTTAACACGATGTACGCATTTGAGATTTTTTTTTTCCATGATTACACCAGGTACATCTCTGTAACAGAAAAATTGATTTTACTACCTGTGAGCAATAGTTTAAATTAAGAAATTTACTAAAACATGGTATATTGCAGTGGCATGCAGAACAAACAAGCACTGGAAAAGCAAGCAGTCTGGATGATACATTTGTACTGACAGGGGGAATATCTGGATTAGTTTCCAAGCCTTAAATGAAATTCCTCTATCTGCAATTCAGTTTTTATTTAGATACTTCAAATAAAACACATTTCTTCATTTCCCCTACGAGATGTTCTTGGCTGCATTAACATCTTAAATTATAGGGTTTTGACACACTTAAAAAAAAGGTAAAGTGCCCAGCAATACAGCATTAAGCAACTGAGCTGAATTGTCATTTATCTTGTTCACTTGATTACACAAAGCATTTTCTTTTCATTGCTTTATTTCACCTTCCTGGAGACTTTCCAATAGCTTGAACAGTATCTTTAACTGAATACACTTGCTCCATTCTTTCCTTCTCTTTCAACATCATTTTTTACTTCTGCAAAAGACAATACTAAACAGTACTGGAACATCTAAAGGTTTGAAGAGTATGCCATCAATCTAAGGGCATGTTCTATGTCATGCAGCTAGTTAGAAAGTTCAGCTGCCATACAATAATGATCTGTGATCAGTCAAGCAATCAAAATCCTAATATAACTGCAGTACAAATTCCAACCATTTCACTTGTTTATCTTGCTGTACCACTGGCAGACTTCTATATTAACAGCTGTGGGCTTCAAATGGTTAAACGCTTTATTCTTTTGAAAATAAAATATTTGTAATAGAATCACTACCTCAAAATGTCACATGAAATTCTCAAATTTACAAGCTTGCACGTTACAAGATTAATACTGGTCCAGCCCTCTTATCACAAAGATACAAACCAGTTTTCATGGGTCTGACCAACAATTTATTAAACTATTGTCCTTCTGATTTTGCCATGTAAACACTAGCAACACAGTAGAACTATAGTATTGATTCTCTAAAACACCATAGACTTGATTTCTTTTCCATCTCAGCTCAAAAGCCTATGAAGCAAAGAGCAATTACTAAATCTTTCCTAAAGGCTTGTTATAGACATTAAGTAGACTGAGAAAGCATGCTACATCACAGGAGCTCAAGACTTACCTGGTGCTTTTAACAACATTTGTAATAAATAAGAAACATATTAATTTACCTGAAAAGCATTTGCTTTAGCATTCGATTAGCTGTGACAACTCTTGGAAGTCGTCCAGTAGATAGCGAATGGAGCTCCAGATTGGAAGAAATCAGTTGAGTTGTCATATCAGTATCTGCAGCTGTTCCAGCACCGCAACAGCTGAAAAATATTATGAGCAAGTTAGGAAAAGGTGAGGAGGACAAGGGAAACAAGTAACTCTATGCTTTATCCAACAAGCAGAAGTTTTCTCATTGTAAAATTGAGGAAATTAAGTTCTCATGTGGTCAGTATTTCCAGAGTACAAAACAAGACAGTCTGTTTAAATATAAACGACATACCAAAAATCCCCAAGCTCTGCTACGAAATTAAGTTATCATTTTAAAGTACGCCTTAATATTGGCTGTTAGCAAAGGATATCGCTAAAAATCCCAATAGTATTGCTACAACCATTACACAATAAACAACTTTAATACTTACTAGATATTAGGAGAAATGAAGTGTATTTTTGAACAGTTCTTGTCAGCAACAACCATTCCTTCAGTTGCTCTCGTATCTGCTCCGAGCACTATGCCATCCTACAGAAAGAGAGAATTGTTCCCAAAAGCCTCGGTCCCCAAAGGGGACCTTCCGAGTGCCGACGGCAAGATCGGCTGCGAGGCTCGGGGGCGCTGGGCAGCTCCGGAGACAGCCCGCAGGCGCCGGCTCGGCGCTGGCCG